TTTCAAGTTCTGTATAAAGCACATGTTTCTGAGAAACTCTGTCCTCTGACTCTGACACTCTACAATAAATGATTTGAGGCTGAACCATTCTCTTGACCTCTCCTCATCCACCATCACCAAATGGTGGTTCTGGGATGTCTCTTTTCCCATTTCTCTGATGCTTTGATTTATCTCAGTGTGTGTAAATCTTAGCTTCCCAAACTGGCCAGTGAGAGCCTTCAGCTTCCCCAGGCTTATCAAGGACTTTGTGTGAATCCTTGTACCAAGCACTTTAAGCTCTGAGTCTCAATAATGCTATCTGTAAGATGAGCAAAAAAAAAAACAAAACAAAACAAAACAAAAACAAAAAAACCTCTGTCCTCTGTCCTTTTAACTCACTAAGTTTCTGTGAACATCAAATAAGCTGTTGTCTGTATAAACACTATATAAATGCAAAGGTCCCTTGAGTCACTAAAACTCTGTAAATGAAACACTTGAGCTTACTGGAAACTGAGGAAGTCATGTAAAATGACAGGGACAAGATCCTCTTTTCTGCTGAAAGGGTGCCGTGTTCTGAGACCACAACCTAGCAGACACAGGGCTTCAATTTGAAATCTTTTTTATTTTCCTTCCCTTTTATCCACTCTACACACCACAATAGTAATAGTAATCATCACCACCACCACCACCATCATCCTCATCTAAATAATGTATACTATGTATTGAACAGTCCCTGGGTGGTGTAAATAATGCTCTCAGCTGCTAACCAAAAGGTTGGAGGTTCAAATCCACCCAGAGATACCTTGTGATCTACTTCCAAAACAACTAGTCACTGAAAACCCTATGGGCACAATTCTACTCTGATATACATGGGGTCTCCATGAGTCAGAATTGACTCTATGGTGACTGGTTTGGTACTGGTACGTATGAACACTCATGTTCCCAACAATATACTGAGCACCTCAGTTGTTTGAGAAAGAAACCAAGACACAGGTAGGTTCAGTGATTTGCCCATGGCCACATAGTTAGGAATTGACAGAGTATGGCCTGGGAAATGTCCAGCTGGAATAGTGGGTGGCAGTATTTAGGCAGGTAGAACATGCTACATTGCATATTTCTGTGTCCCTACTTAGAGCCTAGCACAGTAGCACTGGCTCCTGTTTGAGAAGCTCTGGGTTTTAGGCTTGGCTCTGCCATTTTTTAGTCATAAGTATTGAGCCAATCACTTTACCTCCCAGAATTTTGTTTTCTCCCAGCTAAAGGGGGATTATAATCTGTGGTCAGTGTGCCTCAGGGGCTTCCTGTGAATAGAGATGAAGTAATATGCATAAAAATGTATCATAAACGTGAAACATTTGCGAAGTGGCAGTAGTATTAGTATCAATATTACTAGCAAGAATAATGTTGTTGTTGTTATTAGGTGTTGTCGAGTCGGTTCCGACTCATAGCGACCCCATGCACAACAGAAGAAACACTGCCCGATCCTGCGCCATCCTCACAATCGTTGCTATGCTTGAGCCCATTGTTGTAACCACTGTGTCAATCCATCTTATTGAGGGTCTTCCCCTCTTTCACTGACCCTCTGCTTTATCATGGTTCCTCCTGATAACATGTTTAAAATACGTGAGATGAAGTCTCGCCATCCTTGCTTCTAAGGAGCATTCTGGCTGTATTTCTTCCAAGACAAATTTGTTCGTTCTTTTGGCAGTCCACGGTATATTCAATATTCTTCACCAACTACCATAATTCAAAGGCATCAATTCTTCTTTGGTCTTCCTTATTCATTGTCCAGCTTTCTCATGCATATGAGGCGATTGAAAATACCATGGCTTGGGTCTGGCACACCTTAGTCCTCAAGGTGACATCTTTGCTTTTTAACACTTTAAAGAGGTCTTCTGCTGCAGATTTGTCCAATGCAATGTGTCATTTGATTTCTTCACTGCTGCTTCCATGGGCATTGATTGTGGATCCAAGTAAAATGAAATCCTTGATAATATTAACAGCTGGCAAATATTGAATACTTGACACAGGCCAAGCACTGATCATAAATTATTTCATTTAATCCTTAAAACAATCTTAAGAAGTAATTCATTCCAATTAGTCCCATTAAAGTAATGAGGAAAGTCAGAGAGATTAAGCAATTTTCCATACTAATATGCCATACTGATGATGGGGCCAAATAGTAGACGACTATTTGGATCATTAGGTCATCTTTGGGTTTGGGTAAGTCAGTCTACCATCCAGTCATCTGTATATCCACCCCATTCTGTTTTTCCAGATGAGTCACTTAAACTGGTACCTACCAACCTAGAAACTCCACCTGAAGCTGAGTGAGTGGATTTGTGGCAAGGCAGCAAGCGATGACCAAGTGAAAAGAAGGGGAAGTTGCTGACAGGGCTGGAATTGCTCCTTTCTCTTATTCTTTGTAGCAAGATTTGGACTTTCTCTCTCTCTCTGTAAAAAAGCAAAGACAGCCCAGACTTTTCTAGAACCAGGGATTCCCTCCAGATTTTATCTGAGAAAGTGAAGACCTTATTGTATAATTTGCTCAGCACTCTGGGCTTGTCATGGCCTTCCCACTGAGACTTCAAATGAGAAGATGATGAGAGGGTCAGCCTCAGAACAGACACACACATACACACATACATATACGAACGTGCATGCACTCTCTCATACTCTCTAGTATACACACCCCCACTATTCTTATACCTTCTGAAGGCAGAGTTGCTGGCCACTGTCAGAAAAAGATAAAACCCTGCAAGGCTTCCTCTTATGCTATTTGAAGGGGGGAAAAATAAATGGTGCTGGGATCCAGAGGTGGATTTGTATTGGTAACAGGTAGAAACTCACCTCACTGGCCTTAGGCAAGTGGGATTTGAGGACACACCACAGGTCACTATTGTTGTTGTTGTTAGGTGCCTTCGAGTCAGTTCTGACTCATAGAGACCCTGTGTACAATAGAACGAAACATTGCCCTGTCCTTTGCCATCCTCACAATCATTGTTAAGCTTGAGCTCGTTTTTGCAGCCACTGTGCCAATCCATCTCGTTGAGGGTCTTCTTCTATTTCCCTGACCCTCAACTCTACCAAGCATGATGTCCTTCTCCAGGGACTGATCCCTCCTGAGACATGAGACAAAGTCTCTCCATCCTCACTTCTAAGGAGCATTCTGGCTGTACTTCTTCCAAGACAGATTTGTTCATTCTTTTGGCAGTCCATGGTATATTCAATATTCTTCGCCAACACCATAATTCAAAGGCATTAATTTTTCAGTCTTCTTTTTTCATTACCCAGCTTTTGCATGCATATGAGGCAATTGAAAACACCATAGCTTCAGTCAGATGCACCTTAGTCCTTAAAGTGACATCTTTGCTTTTTAAAAAAACACTTTAAAGAGGTCTTTTACAGCAGATTTGCTCAGGGCAATGCGTCATTTGATTTCTTGACTGCCGCTTCTATGGATGTTGATTGTGAATCCAAGTAAAATGAAATCCTTGACAACTTCAATCTTTTCTCTGTTTATTATAATGTTGCTTATTGGTCCAGTTGAGAGGATTTTTGTTTTCTTTATATGGAGGTGTAATCCATATGAAGGCTGTGGTCTTTGATCTTCATCAGTAAGTTCTGTATAGTTTAAAGCCAGGAAAGGTGTGTGTCAGGGTTGTATCTTTTACCGTACTTATTCAGTCTGTATGCCGAGCAAATAATCTGAAAAGCTGGACTATATGAAGAAGAATGAGACATAAGGATTGAAGGGAGACTCATTAACAACCTGCATTATGCAGATGACACAACTTTGGTCACTGAAAGTGAAGAAGACTTAAAGCACTTGCTGATGAAGATCAAAGACTACAGCCTTCCATATGGATTAGACCTCAACATAAAGAAAACATGGGTTACAATTAAAGAATGTGATTATCTTGTTGCTGAGCTGATGCTATGCAGCTAGACTCATCCTCAATTTGAGAGTCCAAACTGACATTCGTTGGTCACCTACAGAGCAGCAGACTCCACCATATAGGATTTGGACCCCTGTGTTCATCCCTTGACCTTTAATATGAGCTTAAAGATATGAGGCCCTGAAACTTTGATTTGACCCATTTGTGGAGAAAAAATTCCATGCAGCATATTTTGAGGGTTCCAATACAAATTTAATTTTAACCAAGTGAGACCTCTTTAAAACCCTGCACACCTGGTCTTAACATAAGGGCTTCTCCACAGGTGCTTTAAAGTTTTCACAGCACCCTTTCACATTTTCTCTGTCACTTAAGATTAGACAAGGTAGGAATTTTAGAAACAGGAGGCTTAGAGAAGTGTGTCACCCAAGGTCACTTGACTGGCAGAAGTGAGGTCAAATCCAGGCCTCCCAAGTCCAGGTCTTTAGATTCCCAGGTATTTTATTCCCTGGACTCACAAGAAACTAAGAAAATATGTTGAAGCACAGTGCAGGCATCATAAAGCCAGCTTTTGGCCCTGGGTCTTCTCCTGACTTACCAATGATGGCACACCTGTTCCTTTTCCTTTGCAGGCCTCCCTCAGTTTCTTCATCTGAAGCTGTGTGTCTGAGGAGTGGTAGTGGTGATAGTGGTGTTGTCGTGGTACACTTTTTTTTTAGGAATTGATGCATATTTGTATCTACTCTAACCCACTGTTAAAGATTACTTAAAGTAATGAGTGAAAAAGATTTTTAGGATGACTCCCAGTTCAGTGGGAAAGAGGACTGTGCTTTAATAGCAATGCCTATACAGAGGTGCCTTAGAAGAAAGGCCTGGCAATTTACTTCTGAAAAATCAGCCATTGAAAACCCTATGGTCACCATGAGTCAGAGTCAACTCAGCAGCAACTGGTTTTTTGGTTTGCCATGGGCAAGGGATGGGAGAGTTTCAACATTCATACTACTCCACGACCTTGTCCCATGTAACAATCTCAGGTTCTGGATTTGTACTTCCTCTGAACAAATCAAACAAATGTGAAAGGCGTCTTCTGCATTCATTGTTCCACCACTTGGTTTGGTTTTCTAGGTGCGGTTTGAAGGCTTGACAGGAAACGTGCAGTTTAATGAGAAAGGACGCCGGACCAACTACACTCTCCATGTGATTGAAATGAAACATGATGGCATCCGAAAGGTAAGCGCTCCTTTTGCTTCCATTCTGCATGGAGGAGAGTGCTGAGCTAGGGCTCAGGCCAGAGGTGAGGTCCCTGTGCACCCAACTTTCCTCAGCTGGATCTCTTTGAGGAGACAGTTGGGCATAGCACCTTGGGCACCACACTCAGCCACTAATCCTCCACTAACCTGTTGGACCCCTGACTCTCCAGCTCATTCGGTTGCAACCACTGCCACAGTTGAGTGGGTCGGAGTGAAATAATCAGGACGTTACTGATGACTGAGATGGGAAGGGCGACAGGTTGGGGAATTTTGCTGCCCCGGGAAAGGACACCAGACATGTGGCCTCCTCCCAAGGCCATTTTCCTTTCATAGTCTGAGGAGAAGGGTGGTGTTACCGTAACCCTGCAGATAAAAGCATAGATGTTGTAGCTCTTGTGTGTCGGGCATTGAGCAGGCTCCTAGATAGAAAACTGTTGAACATGAACCCGGTGGTCCCTCAGAAGCCTCCAAATGGTCTTTTGCCCTCAGGGGAAAAATTATTGATATTCCCTGGTTGAATAAATTGACATTTCTATGCTATGTATGACCAGATATGTATTTGTTGAAATTAAAATCAATGAATGCTGAACCTTTTTTTCTCCCCAAGGTAAAGGGGTGGTTTAAAATAAATCAGACTATTTCTGAATATTAACGGTAGACTAAGTACATTGGGAACTAAGCGGTGATGCAGCAAGTAAGAATAGGAGCCAGGAAACTTCTACCCCAAGCAGTGCCACTACCTAGCTGTGTGAACTTTTGCATGTTTCTTGGCCTCTCTGGGTCTTTAAAATAAATGAGAGGTGTTGAATGGTACAATCTCTCTCAGCTCTGACACCTCAGATGCGATGCCATGTTATATACAGTATTTTCACCAGCCTCACCCCTACAATCACATCATCCCTCTGCCTGGCTGGACTTTAGCTTTTTGAGTGGAGGGAGAGTTAGGGACCTTCACCAACTGACCAACTGCCATTTGCTGTGAGCTTCCCCGAGAACTACTTTAAGGAGCAGGGATCCCAGCACTTTAGGTTGACCCTAAACCTTACCCAGACACTATTGGCAGCACATCATCTCCTCATGATTTGTTCTCCACCAAGAACTTCTCCTCAGAAGTAGAGACACTGTGGAAAAGCTAGTGATTCTCAAACTTCAGTGAATAGAAGAATTACCTGGGGGCCTTGTTAAAAAGAAAGAGTCCCAGGCCCCAGTCCCTGGACATTCTGCTTTTGGAGAACAGAGATGAGACCCATGAATCTTCACATTTTGAGAGTGTCCTCTCCAAACTGCAGGATTCATGGTGCGATATGTGGTCTCCTGAGAAACATTGACAGTGTGGCTAAAAACTCCGGCATTAGAGGCCAACAGGCCAGGATTAAGTCTCTGCTTTACTCTTTACGAGGCATGTGACCTTGAACAAGTTATCTAGTCTCTCTGGAGCTCAGTTAAACCATCTCTAAAAGCGGGATGATACTGCTTTACATGACAGGGTTGCTGTCAGGATTAAATGAAACAAGGCTTATCTCTCCCATAACCTGCAGTAAGGAATTCAGAAAAGTAACACCTGGCATCGTGGACACTCAGTCCTCGCTTTGTTTGTTGTTTTGTTGTTTATTTGTTTGAATATAGGCCACAGGGATTATATGTTGTCCTTGAGTTTGGGCGAGTCAGACTGTGCAAGCCCAAAGAATGAATAAATCAGCACAAAGAAACAACAGACAAAACTTAAAATCTACAAGCAAATGGCTGTGCTCTATTTTTCAGATCTTGAGGCTGTTTTTAAACTTACTTTCCAGTGACTAAATCCTTTCTTAGAACATGGGCTTAAGCATCTTTTGTTTACAGGGGATCAGACTTTCAGAAAATCAATTCTTCCACACCTGTGGCTTTGGGCCTTTTATTCAATCAGCCTCCTAGCAAAGTAATTTCTCAAATTCAAGGATGACCTAGTTGTGCTGGTTTCGGTGAACATTCCATGGCCTTACCTGAAGTGTGTAATGAAGAGGAGCTGCTTCTTCCTGATTTGGGGTCTTGGGGAAACTCTCCTGGTTTTTAGACCTACATCCTGCCTGCTCCTGTGCCAATAGATCCTCTAGTTATCAGGATTCAATCTGACATCCCACTGAAATGTAGTGCTGTACACATCATCCACTGACTGTCAGAAAGCCCAGGAGCTTCAGATGTCACAGTTGACACTGGTTCTACCAAAATTGAATTCATGGGAAATCCCACTCAGAAATGCCACTTCGCCATAGGTTACTGATTTAGGGATCTCTATGTGAATAAACTCATTCTCATTGAGTTGATTCTGATTGATAGCAACCCTATAGGAACTTGGCTGCTAACCAAAAGGTCAGCAGTTCCAATCTACCAGGTGCTCCTTGGAAACACTATGGGGCAGTTCTACTCTGTCCTATAGGGTTGCTATGAGTCAGAATCAACTCGACAGCATAGGGTTTGGTTTTGGTTTATGTGAATAAAGGCACCTTGGTGGTGCAATGGTTAAGCGCTCAGCTGCTAACCAAAATGTCAGCAGTTTGAGCCCACCAGAGGCTCCACAGGAGAAAAGACCTGACAATCTTCTTCAGTAAAGATTATAGCCTAGGAAATTCTATGAGGCAGTTCTACTCTGTCACATGGGGTCACTCTGAGTCGGAATCAACTTGACAGCACACAGCAACGACATATGAATACAGGAGGCCAGGATGGTGCAAATGGTTAACACACTCAACTGCTAACCAAAAGGTTGGAGGTTGGAGTCCACCCAGAGGTGCCTTGAAAGAAGACATGGCAATCTACTTCCAAAAAAAATCAGCCATTGAAAACCCTATACAGCACAGTTCTACTCAGACACGTGGAGTTGCCATGAGTCAGATTTGACTCAAAGGCAACTGGTATGTGAATAAAATACTTTGTTACATTCAGATGGGAATTCTGCCCAAGGGAGAATACAGGAAAATTCTCTTACATCTTTCATCAAGGATGAAAGCATTAAATCAGCATTCTTGTCTTAACTGTCTTTGTCTATCACCATTGGTCAGGACTTGGTTGAAGGCATCTACTTCTCATTTCAACATAATTTGAGCCCTTAAATCCACCCATCCTCTCCCCCAACCTTGGGTTTATTATATTGAGTTCTGACCATAACTGGAATGGAAAGACTAGGCAGGAAATAATGTCACTAAAGTGATATGAATGACATGAAGCTCTGCTGCTGATATCAAAAGTAATCTTCTAATGTCCCAAAGACTTCACAGCCCACCATTCTACATGTCCTTTGAAAGTAAGTTTTTCTTTAAATACTTGCCATTCCAATATGTGTATGTATTTTTGAATGAGAAATTAACTTGAGCTGTAAACTTTTACCTAAAGCACAATTAAAAAAAAAAAAAATACTTGCCCGCCACGCAATTTTGGACATACCAAAATCATTTAACAGCTCTACAATATAGCCTCAATCCAACCACTTCTCTCCATTTCCACTGCTGACCCCAGAGCCCAAGTCATCTTCCATGCCAACTGGACTCATTCAGTAGCTCCTTACCAATTATTAGTCCTGCTGTGTACATTCGTTCATGCCCCTCTCCAAGACATTTTTCCACCACAAAAACAGGGACAATAATTTTCAAATATATATCACTGTTATGGATTAAATTCTGTCCCCCCCAAAATATGTGTCAACTTGGCTAGGGCATGATTCCCAGTATTGTATGATTTTCCACCATTTTGTGATCTGATGGGATTTTCCTATGTGTTGTAAATCCTACCTTTATGATGTTAATGTAGTGGGATTAGTGGCAGTTATGTTAATGAGGCAGGATTTGACCTACAAGATTAGGTTGTATTTTAAGTCAATCTGCTTTGAGATATAAAAGAGGGAATCAAGCAGAGAGACAGGGAGACATCATACCACCAAGAAACAAGAGCCAGGAGGATAGTGCATCCTTTGGACCCTAGGGTCCCTGCACTAAGAATCTCCTTGACAGGGGACGATTGATGACAAGGACCTTCCCCCAGAACCAACAGAAAGGGAAATCCTTCCCCTGGAGTTGGCACCCTGAATTTGGACTTTAGGCCTCCTAGATTGTGAGAGAATAAATTTCTCTTTGTTAAAGCCATCCACTTGTGATATTTCTGTTATAGCAGTACTAAATAACTAAGAGAATCGCATTATATTGTTCCTCTGCTTAAAACTTTTCACTAGTCTCCTGTTGCAGGTAAAATAAAATGTAACTCCTTGATCTTCAGAATCCTAGATGTTGCTTCTCTCTGACATCACTCTTGCTCCGCTTTCTCTAGTTCATTACTCTGCAGCTACACTGGCATCTTTCTCTTCCTTGAGCATATTAAGTTTATGCTTTCCTCAGAGCATTTGCACTTGCTATTCCTTTACCTGGCATTCTCTATCACTGTATCTTCATGAGGTGTGTTTCTCCTTGACATTCAGGCCTCAGCTCGAGTGAAACTGCTTCAGAGAGGCCTTCCCTGACTTAGTCATCCAAAGTATCCTGATTTTTTTCTTGTTAGTTTATTGGTCGATTTCAGGGGTTAGCCACCTGCAGCCCACAGGCCAAATTCAGCTCACCGCCTCTTTTAGTTCAGCCCGTAGCTAAGAATGGGTTTTACATTTTTAAATGATAAAAAAATAAAGAATATTTCATGTCATATGAAAATCACATGAAATTCAAATTTTGGTGTCCATGAATAAAGTTTTATTGGAACACAGCCACACTCATTTGTTTACATGTTGTGTATGACTGCTTTAGGAGTCCCTGGGTGGCGCAAACCGTTAAGCACTCAGCTACTAGCCAAAAGGTTGGTGATTCGAACCTCGTCAGAGGATACTCAGGAGATAGCCCTAATGATCTGCTTCCAAAAGGTCACTGCCTTATCCCACTTTGGTGAGTGGTGTCTGGGGTCTTAAAAGCTAGCAAGCGGCCATCTACAATGCATCAATTGGTCCCAACCCACCTGGAGTAAAGG